TAAGGATCATGGGGAATTTGTCTAATTTGTTTTTATTTTTTTCTGATGTTATTTGAACAGACAAAGAAAAATTAAAAGATACTTTCTCATTGCGACTATTTGAGCTCTACAAGACAGTGTTCAGAGATCAACTTTATTTTTTATATGGCTCGTAAAAAAGTACATACTGTATTGAGTAGTATTTTTTATTACGAATACAACGATGTACGGCACACAAAGAAACAAAAGTTGGAACTTTTGGTTTCAACAGGATGGGGCACCCCCGTACAACGCCCTAATCGTGCAAGAATACTTATCGTAAAAATTTCCAGGTATTTGCCCAATTCGAATCAAATTCCTTTCTATATCCCATCAAGTTTCTTAAAGTTCATTGTTCCTCTCAACTTTCGCTTAGCCACGTTCGCATATATTCTTCCAATTTTTCATTAAATTCCCTTCAGATTATCCTCAAGTTCCTATGAAATCCGTCTCATGTCTTCCTCAAATTTCGTTTTCAAGTTGTTCTCAAGTTACTTTCAAGTTCCCTGTAAGCTATAACGTCTTGTCAAGTTCTTCTCCTCACAAAATCCGTTACGTTGTTTTAACACTAGTAGAAGTGATCAACCTGGATTTCCATTAAAAAAATGAATATTAAAATTGAAAAAAAAACTAGTGAGAATGATTTATAGGCATGGAATGTATGTTTGACAATCCTAAAACTGAAAAATATTCACAAACTTGCCATCAGACATAAATTAAAATTAATTAATTAAAAAGTATTTGAGCAGAACAATTCAAGTAATTGCGCAACCATTTCTTTAATCTTTACTTATATGTACTTGTTTTTCAAAAAAACATTTCAAATCGATATCTCTATAAATAAAAAAGTTGACTCTAAACCAGGCATTTTAAGAACACTTAGATACGACGATGACGAAATAGGAAATGAGACTTGGATTTTTGCCACAGGTAAGATCAAGGAAAATATAAGGAAGCTATTAAATAAGATATGGAAAAGGAGGGTAACTACTTACTTGAAGAATGGAAGGAAAGAGTAATAGAGCCAAAGTGCCAAAGAAGTGATAAAAACTGCAGGAAAATTATAGGGGAAACACGATAACGACGACGGCGTACAAAATATATGCAGTGATATTGATGAAAGTTTAGAAAGAGAAACAGAAGAGAAAAGAACATTATCATAATAAAAACAAAAGAATGACATCAAGCGACTTAATTTTTTTATCAATTTGCCACAAGAAGTAACTAAAACATGGAATATCTCGGAAACCGTTTGAAGGAGCTTTTGACATTTTGTATCAAATTAAAGGTCTAGGAAAAAGGAAAACAAGGGTGAAGAACACAATGGGGGGTACCATTCGAAAAAATGGAGTTACGGATATTTAAAAGTTTAAAAGTTGAGAGCTTTGAAAAAGTGACGTAGTCTCGCTTTCTTAGACTGTTACCAGAAGAAAATTCGATCTTTCTTTAATAAATCAGTGAAAACTGTGTGGGAATATCTCTCACCGTTTTCGAATAATAAAGTTTTAAATTACCCCTGCAAATTCAATTTTTGACATAAAAACTTGAATATCGGCGAAGCCCTTGGACTAAAGGGTCAACTATGGGTATCGTTGTACTCCAAATTCGACGTAGAATCCGAAAATGTAGAAAAAATAGGGGATCCCTATTTAAAATAACAAAGTTGATGGCTACTTCCGGTATTTCCGGAAGTGGCGCCATCTTGAAAATATTTTAATTCAATTCATCATGTGCCAAAACCCTTAAAGAACTTATCAGTTTATCTTCATTTTGAAAGGTTTTCCATATCTTTCTAACTGACGCTCGTCAAGAATGACCCTGTATATGACCATCAAAACGTCAGTATCTCAAGACTGGACGAGGATGTTCTGGGCTCCATGCTCCACCATATCTTTCGCATGGAGGATGATTCGCCCGTCCCCCTCTTCTTGCGTAACTTGTATATCCCATCAAAAGGGAAAGCGTTCTCAATCGTAGGAAAAGCGGCTGCAAGTCAACTTGTGAGACCATGAGGTGCTCATGCTTACGAAACAGCCTTCCCTGCATCCCACAGAGTTCTAACTGCCAAGAACACTGCAAAAATCGCAGCCGAGTATATGTACATCACTGTACATATTAAGGATCCTCAGATCCTTTATAGTTTGTAATGTCGTCCGTCGTGTGCGCTCAACCTTTTCTAAAGTGGCCGATCTGATTGAAATTTGGTGTACGGGTTCTTTCGGACATTAAGGACGGACGCCCTATTGAATTTTCAGGAAGCTGGTTCAAATAGGAACAAAGTTATTAGGCTGTCGAAGTGAATTCGCGAACATGGAAAAACTAACGGGCTCAATATAATAAGAAAATCAATAACATATTTCATTCCCTAGGTCAGTTATCGGTTGGGACTTCCGCTAGATTATTCCCTAATGACTCTTAGATGTGTCATACTTTAATATATACTCTTCTCTGGTATAGTTCCGAAAGTTTTTAGAGCAAAAATGTAGCAAAAATACACTTTATACATGAATTTAGAGTTTTAAAAGGTTCAACGCATTACTTTGATGCAGCAAGAGTACCATCACGTGCACATTTGATAACCCGCATCGTGTTATTTCAAGTATGTTAAATATGCCATATGGGTTTTTGATCAAATAACAAAATCGTTATTTTATGCACCAAGATTCGGTCAGAGGAAATAAGACTAGGGCAATTATGCTCAAGCTCAATGACATAAATTTGAGTGCATTTCTGGCACACACATGGATTTTGATCCAAACAATGTCAAAAACATCGTTATTTATGCACAAACATCTGTTGGAAAAGACTTAAGAGCATCATCTCAATGAAACCAACACACCATGAAAAAATATTTGATCCACTATTTTTTGGCGACCACATGAATTTTGATCAAACAATGTTCGAAAATCGTTATTTATGGCTACGCAAGACGTTGGAAAAAGACCAAGAGCATTATCGCCAAAAATTGACAATAACATGAATTTGATCCTATTTTTGGCGACCTACATGGAATTTTGATCAAAACAATCGATTAAGAGCATTATCTCAATGGCCAAGAACACTGATTCGAATGGTATTTTTGTAACATTAAATAATTATCGTGTAATTGAGTAATCGTTAGTATCGGAGAACGGTAAGCAGGATTTTTACCGTTCGACAGTACATTGTTGGGAGGAGGAGCGCAAGCGAGACTCAATATTGTCTAGAACGGTAACCTTAACGTGTCGCACGTGCTATAACATTTTTGCGACGATTCGAAATTAAAATTATGCAAACACCCAAATATAAATATGGCACAAGAAATTAACGAGCAGAATAAATCGAAATGATCGAAGTGATATGGGGTATCATCGACAGGTAACCAGTTTAAATGTCAAAATTGAGAAATTAATAATTTCAATAAAAATGTGCATGTGTCTGATGTAGTTTACTTAGCTTGCACCTTCCTTTATGACTTTATGAGCGTCTTGTTATAAGGGAAACAACCAGCACAAAATGTGAATGTAAGACTGTTGATTTTTAAAAAGGCGTCGGTAAGTATTTTTGCTGTTCTGTTTTTAGATCGGTAAGTAATTTTGGCGTCGTCGTAATCATAGCAACTGGTAAATTCTACGTACTGTCATGGAAACACCCATGGTAAATAGTCAGAAATGACCGATCGCGCAAAAAAAGTTATTGTAATACTGAGGATCCTTCGATATTTCGTTGTATCGGTTTATTATAAACATGATTGTCAGCGTTTTATTTTTAATGATTTTAACTAAATATAAGCTCGACTGCAACAGGAGATCTGAGCGATGATGAGGCATTTTCCTTTGATGACTGATGACTGTTTACTTGTAAATACGTTTCAATAATCAACAATTTTTAGTTAAAAACAGGACGCAATGAATTCAGTTTTACACTTAGTTAACCTCGATCTGTTTATTCAAAATACAACAAATTTCATAAAAAAGGCCTTTAATGGGGCTTTTTTGGTAATCTTCACCCAAAAGAATCTCAGAAACGCCACCTCAACTACGAAAATCGGTCAAAATCTTGTCGGACGTTAAAGATATCATGCAATTGGCCTATACATGATAAATGAAACATGCTACCCACACAGAAATTAGCTTTGGATATTATTTTTGTCATATTCACCGTCGGAAACCTCGTAAACGTCACCCCAAACGTAAAAATCACTCTAATTTACATATATTTCCTGAAATTTTAAAAATTGGCGCCATTTTCAATCCTAAGGGACGGAACTTCCGGCTCTGCGACTCAAATCACTCCAATAGGTCTAGGGAACATGTGTTCCAAGTTGCACAATTTTAATACGAAATGCCGAATAATACCAATATTTATCACGAGCCGCTCCCACTAAATAGCGTTTTTCATGGATCAAAAGGTAGCGTTTGACAGAGTGGAAAAGCGAAAAGGTATGGAAAATTATGGAAGATAGGTAAATAACAAGAAGCTAAAGGACATATAATCAAGGAATTATATGGAGAGATAAGAATGGGAGGGAAGGACTCTGAATTGTTCTGAACGTGTAAAGGTCAACCTATTTAATTTCTACATAAGAGACGTGTAAAAAATATTAACACATAATCACAGTGGAGGGATTGTAGTGGGGAAAAGGAAGATATGGGCCCTGGCAAATGCGAACGACACAATATCATTGGCACCAGAGGTAGAACAAATGTAGGGAATGATGGGAAAATAATTGAGAGATATGATGCAGTGTTCAGTGTTTTTAGCCCTTGCCCTTAATGTAAAATTGAGACTAATTTTGGTAATAAAATGGTTCACTTTTTCAACGGTTGGAGAAAAATCTATCTATTTGGAATCGATCACATCACATGCCCTCTCAGCATACTGGCCTGGGCCTCGGAAACATGAAAAGTAAGCAAACTTAGTTCTGTAACTGGTATGCAATAATGGTCGATAAATTCTACTTTTACGATCATTCGTGAGGATACAACCAGAAAAAAAACTCGTAAATGAACAATGATGTATTTGTAGTGAATACAGTTTACATTGATGTGGCCAAAAAATGGCCGACCATGAGATATTTTAAATTTCTAACTCTAATGACTATATATGACAAATGTTTGACATCCTAAAATTATTATTGTATTAAAAATTTAATTACAAACATGAAAGAGTATCAATAACTAATCAACTATTATTGGTACGGCATTAATTGCCCATAACGATTTCCTACTCATTATACTAGCAGCATCTTTGGTGTGATGCAAAATATTGCACAATCACATTGCAAGTTAAAAATCTTAGTTTGTAAACCACAAACATTACTTCACTAAGATTTATCCAACATTGATAAAAGAAATGGGTACTTAGATAACATAAATTAAGTGTGCATCTTTAGCTGTACACATCGAATGAACATATCACAAAGTCATGTTTGGTTTTTGTCTTCAAAGTGATGCTGTCAACTTCTCTCATCAATAAATTATACTTAAGGCAGTGTGGAAGACTAAATCAAGGTTGACAATTATATTCGAAGAAACACAAATTGGGGCGAGCGAAATAATTTCGCTTAAGATTAAGGACTAAATGTCACCCTGCATATTTGACTAGAGCTTCTAATTAGATATAATTACTGAAAACGATCTACGTGAGGTCGCCACAATCGTCTATCAACTCTTTGTATATCACTATAGGACCGTTCTGAAACAAAAGTTTGTTACAACTCGAAATATGAAATTAAATAAATAATACGTACCTCTAAATTTCATTAACTGAGAGTGTATTTCTGATGTATTTGTAGGAGGACGTTTAATGGCCCCCGTTGTATTTCTTGAAGATCTAAACGAACCTGAAGGTCTAAGCGATGGCGGTTGAATGCATAAAACGTCCTCATTCATTCTGTATGAGGCAACAGAAGGCGCATCTAATGTGTCATCATTGTAGGAGTTAATGTCGATGTCTGTCAGTACTGTAAGAGACAAAAATGTTACGATGATTGGAGTTTACAGATTTGGTACATTGAATATTCTCTACACGTAAAAAATATTTCTAAAATTATTTATATGTAAATGGTGTCAATGGCTTTTGCCTTACGTGCCTGTTAATGCCACGTTTGGAAGTTAATAATCACACTTCACGCATGTAAACTACGAATTATTAAGAAAATCCTATGCACCAATATCTTCTTCATTCAAAGTATAAAATTTTATTTCGCAAACATCCATCAGGTATTGATTTTAATAATCTATTAAGTTATAACCGAAGCACGTTTAGTGTATCGTTTTCATCATAAATTCGATGAAGATGGCTTCTTACTTCTAAAATTAATCTCTACAATTTACGGCCTCAGTTTCTAAAAGTAATTTTTTTATATTGAACGGGGAATACATGCTGCCGACTATAATTTATCTTGAGGAAAACCCTTGATAGAGAACTTTATGCCGTGCATTAAGTCGGAAAATTGTAGCAACCTGTATTTACAGAAAGCTTCGTATCAAAGTTAATGCCAAATCGGCACAATTGTACGAGAATGACGAATGAAATGCAATGTCAGCGTAAAATGCAAAGCCGTATTGCCCAAATCGTGTGTAAAATACGAATCCAATCGAGCAGAATAACCGAAACTGAAATGGAAAAGACTTACGAGATAATCTGTTGTCTAGGGTAGGATTTTCCCAATCCTCATCTCGGGGCGTCCAGTCACGACGTCTAACACTATCTTGTCTAGTGCTAATGCTATCTGTTGGCAGTCGTCCCTTCGCTGAAAAAAATCAAATTAATGCCTGTCCTTGTTACACTATTCGTATCATTGAAAAATTGAACGCAATCGAGATTTCAATTAATTTAAATGTAACAAAGCGTCGTTCATGTCTAATTGTAAAAGCAGATCGATTTGTTTAACATTGTGTAAAACGAAACAAAAAAGGTCAATAATTCTTGGGGTCATCATTTGTTTTACAATGCACATCTGCAAAGTTCTTCATCTTGCCTGTATAACATAAACAATGTGTTCTGTTTTGTTTAAATAAAGTGTAAATCAGAAACACGGAAGACTATCGCAATTCCTAGAATGGTCAAGACAGGTCGTATTGTATTTCCACGATTCAGGACTTAAAAATCACTTGCAACATCACCAGCGGTTGAATTAGGCAATGTAACGAAATTTGTTGAAAATCCCACTCAAAAAAGGTCGATTGTATTGCGTAAATATTTAAAGTTGACAACTAATCGAAAGAAATAGGAACCACTTACGTATTTTTTGACGTGCCATAAGCCATTCATCTAATGAGTTTAGTACATTATTATTATCCTTTGATTTTCCATCATGTGACGTACGCAGCGCTTTCCTCCTTTCCTTACTTGTCAGTGTGCATTCCTCTAAAAGTTCAAACCAATCCTCAAGTCCTTCTGGAGCTCGTAAGAAAATTTTTCCGTCTCGCCCAAGGATTAAAACAACTGTGCTATAGGTTTTCTTATTCTCCCACTCGACGCGGTCGACATCCACCAATTTTATTTTGAACAGGAACTGTCCCATTTCCGAAATTCTATCGGAACCGGAAGCTCGCCGAAAACAATGCAAGTAATCTCTAGTAAGTATGAAGTAACGTTCCTTCCACCTACTGAAGAGTTTGTCACGTTGCTGCCACAGCAAGCCCTTCTTAATAGCGTGCACTGCGTCTTTTCCATAATTCGACGGGAGTAGTGACTGCAAAAAAGATAATTTTACTAACAGTGCCGATACAGCGCATTAAAAAAATGTAACTATTCCAAAGACGAGTAAACATTAATCGGTGGTGCATGCATACGTCGATTACCAATAGTAGTATAATTTCACAACAGAGGTGAGAAATGGGCGGTTTTGCGAATTAAAGACGCAGTTATTGTTAATAGGAAGACGTCCCTGTGAAACTAAAACTGCAGCAGATTTGGACAATGCTGCCAGCTTTCATTATTAGCAATATTTCATTGGTAAAACAAACGGACTAATTTAATTAAGACATACATTTAAACGACATACAACAAATGATATAAAATACGAAGAAGAACGGAAAACGTATCGGTCAAAGTACTTCCGGTACGATGACCGCAAATATAATAAAATTCCCTACCTAAAGAGAATGCAAAGGAAATTCTCTCTGATAAAGTGGATTTTGATAAAATACGGCGTAATTATTTAAGGTTCGTATCACTGCAGTGCATAGAAGGGAAATGCGAAATTTCTATTGCCGAGTTCTCTTTAAAGATTTCTGCGTTCGCATAATGACGACGAGGATTCATTAATTATTGAAGTTACGATATTCACATTTAAAATTCTGCTTTTTTTTTTAATGAGTTCTGTACTGGGGATGCAGAACATTGCCTGGATTTAATTGTGACAACGTGTATTGTGGAAATGAAACAAAGCGTTCAGTTCAGACTGAACTAGTTGGAATGCTCCACTTCATTAGTCTTCATTAATCATAACTATATTATAGATATTCTCGGCGATCTACAGATTATGACTAACAATACAATAATAGTTTTACAGTGGCACGATTAAATTGACACTTTGTTACAGATGGTTTTAGTAACGAATTCCACTAAAACCGTACCCACCTACTTAATTAAATTTAAACAAGGAAAATCTTTTTCCCTTCAATAAGGAAATGAAGTTGATTAGAAATATTTAAAATTTTTCCGCGCTCGCAGAGGTATAGGAATTTTATATACAGCATCCTGTGCAGAAGGTACCTAACTTGAATATTCATAGGTACTTTTTGCGTGTTTAAAAAGGGTGAAGCGCTTGTGGTGTAATATTTGTAAATCTTTAAGCAACTTTTTACATGGGCCCGACATATCTATCTCTCCACACGGGTTTTGTGGATAAAACAGAAACACTGACCCCACTTCAAGGAGCAAATTGGTAATTGCACTTATTCATCTCTTGGTGTCACAATGAATATTTCAAGGATTAAATGATACAGTTAATGTTAATCATGCAGTACACACAATTCATTTCAAGGTGTGGATAAATACGCAAACGAATTTTTAGAAAGGATCCAATTAAAAACGAAATGCAAGTACGAAGGTACATATCTCCTTGAGAACGGTAATTAAAATTTTGGTAGGTACATACGTTTAATCTCAACATCGGCCTTTGCTTTATTTAAGTGTGGCAACTTAAACAAAAAATTTCGTAAAACAAAACAATAATCGTTACCAAACCAAACCAGACAAATGCAAATTATTTTCCCACGATTTTTAACTTAACAATTTATAGATAGATGTCGATCTAGCAAAGACCGGATATTTTCGCAAAGATATGAATTCATAAAAAATGCGCTAAAAAAGTATTTCGCCTATTTTGGTAATAGAGATAATGATAAATTCATTTATTTAGATAACGCATAACTTTCATACACGATCGCGTGAGTCAATGCATACAAATTTAATCTAAGTAAATTATGAGTTTAAAAGCTGATTCAGAGATAACGTTTTCTAATTTTGAAAACAATTTAGAAACTTTATAGGACCATTTGTTCTTGAAAAGAATCTTTTATCACAAAACCTATTTTATAAAAAAATATCGACAATGTTATGTCAGGTTGGATAGCTCGTTAATTTTTTTAGGGTAAAATGCGGATTATTGGGCCACATGGGCCGTTCACCCGTTTGTCCAGATGACTGTGTCAAGTGTCACTAACAGAATCGACGGATTTTATTCTCTTTTGGTTTGTATGATCACGATGAAAGTCATATTTAAATCAATAGGCACTCTGCTAAACCTTTTACATCCGTGCTATCTAAACTTAAATAATGAATAACCCATTATAAATCGCATTATGGAATGCAAATGGGTTCTCCTAACGCGCAGATTAACTAAAAATATTCATTTCGATATATACTTATATCTCAAACCTGAAGCCATTTTACGGAGCCCACCTTAAAATTTCAATCAATTCTCGTTACTCCACGAATCATCCAAATGGTACCGCAAGAGATGGATCTGGAGTAATAATAAAAAAACTCAATAAAACATCACCTAAATAACAGTTACAGAACTTTTTCCAAGCCACAAGTTTAACCATAGCACACTTCTCAGGTTTTGTAACTGTGTCAGCCGTCTACTTCCCTCCTAGGCATAGAGTAACACAAGATCATTATGAAAATTACTTTCACACCCTAGGATGGCGATTTGAGGGGTTGATTATAACTCCAAGCATACCGACTGTAGTTCTAGACCAGCAGTTACTGTCTGTCTGTTTCAATGATTAATAACAGGTTGAATCGTCGTGAGTCGGACGGGTTCGACGAGACGGCCAGTTTTTTTAATTAAAAATTTTCAAGTGTAGCACTGGGAAAACGTACCACTAAATTTATAGGACTATATGACCATTTTATTTTACAAACATTTACTAATCGACATACAAAAAATCAGCTGGATATTAATAATTTTTATGATCTTACTCCGAGAGTTGAGGAAACTCCTGGTGAGACCACCCAACCAGCTGATGTTTTTTGTATACAGTTTAGTAAATTTAATGTTTGTAGAACAAAATGGTCATATAGTCCTACAAATTTAGTGGTAATTAAGTTTTCCCAGTCCTAGGCTTGGAAGATTTTAACACCTACGCAGATCATTAGCTACCACTTCTATTGACTCACGTAGATTCAGTCTGTTATTAATCACTGAAAAAACAAAGGTGATGGCTGCTGGACTAGGGGTCGTGAATTACTCAAAACTATCGAGCGCAACCACCTGCATCTCCTATCCACCTAGTGGGCCGACTGCGGTATTACAAAAGGGATTTATCTTCTGATCACTCTCCTGTTTTAATCACTTTATCAGCATCCGCAAAAAACCAACGAGTATATGTAGTCAAAACACAAACTGGGATATCTTTAAATAATTCGTTAATCGTCGACAATAAACTACCACTAAATATCGCCCTTAAAACGAGAGAAGCTATTGAAACAGCTATCAAACTCTTCAATGACACAGTACAACAGGCGGGCCTTATCAAAACACTACACCCCAAAAAGCCCGGGGACGACATGATTACAGGACAAATGCCTTACCTGGGAATAAAATATCTTCCACAACTATTCAATGCAGTTTTGCACATAGACACTTACTAGTAAAAGTTAGCACTGAACTAACTGACCTATATGAGATAAAGGCCGGACAAGGCGGTCATTCGGAAAGATGTACAAATCACAAGAAATATCAAACCAGACTCCGCATAACACTCAAACGCTATGGCAACCAACCTTATGAACACGCCGAGAATTAAGAAACAATAAGAGAGAGACTCTTGCGATATGCACGCAATGACTTACTAAGCAGATTTTGATTACTTTTAGGATTAGTTAGAATTAGATTATATAAGTCGTAAGAAAATTGAATATCCCTTCCCATTTCACCTGGCACAATAGTGCGTATGGTTTCTTTTAAATTAAAAAAAATTTACTGAACTGTATTTAAAATACCTTGAACTAAATTATTAATTTGAATATCCTCCAGACAAGCAACGCGACGAGTTTATGTAAAAAATGTAAGGACAATCATATCAGTGATGCCAAAAACAGTACGCTGAAAACTATGCATAAAAGCGTAGGATCCGGAAGTTACTCACGCCAGCATATTAACTCATACAGAACAATTTCTTTAATAAACGCGGATAGACCGTTTAATTATTATACTTTTCATGTTGCAGTTCTAAATTTTTAATGAGTCAGTTATGGTAGACTGCGAGATTTTGGGAAAAAGCGCAATTTCAAAGAAATACAGTTGCAAATAGCGAACAATGAATTCTTATAATTTTTCATCGCTTAACAAGTAAGCGTTTGTTGTGGCTGTAATCGGTGATAACACTGATAACCTAAGAAAAGTCAGAAGCCATACTTCCGTCCTGTCCCTTGCAATCATGGAACTACAATATCCTTGATAATGAGGAGTTTCTCTGTCGTTAGCTTTAGAAGTATGCGCAGCTTTGTTTAGCGGCATTATGGCCTCCTTTTAAGAAATTTAACAATATGCATATGTTTGTAGAAATTTCTAAGAGCAGATGGTCCAAATTAGACAGGAAATAATAAACTATCTCTATTCATTGTTTACAAGTCTTCTTAAAAATTGTTTTCTATACAGCACGTGTGCTATCCTAATGTAGTGTAGGCTTTATCCTCAAATGCAATATGGCTATTCGTGACGAATCTATCGCGAAATCCGCTGTTTCGAAAATGTATTCCACAATTACACTTAAATTACCCCTCGCTTTCCTGAATCGAATGTGTAAATCTGCTTTGAATAACATTATTTGACCGTGCCATGCAGATTTTGCACAACCCTACTTATGCATTTTATATAGTGTTGGTTCTGTACACAATTCTAAACTTTAAAATTCAAATTGTATATTTGTGTAAAGCAAAACTCCGAGTAATACAGTTTTTATTACACAAAATAAGATGCATTTGTATTTAATTAGGGAGAATTTGTATAATATCCAGCTGCTAATAAATTAACATGGCAAATGGATACCATTGTTATGGCACAGTTATTTGGCGGTGTTAGATGGACATCTCGATCCATACAAAAATGTAATGCTCCCAAACAGATCCTTGAGAATTGCGAGCGAGGTTTTGTCTACAAAAAATCACTCCTGAAGTGACAGAGCAAGTGATTCATGTAATTTTCATATCTTTCATATATGTAAATAGCAACCGGGA